TAGTGGAATGTTTGCTTCACTTGTGGCTTTTTTTGAACCAGCGGATGTTTGAAGTGTACTAACATACGGTTTGATTGATTCTGGAAAATACGTCTCAGCTAAGGATGTTCTAAGCAATGATGCATGTGATCCGGTATCTATTAATAATCGTATATTGTAATTAGGAATTTCTATGAATGGTAATTGATTAATTTGAAAAGTATTTAGATTCATATAGAGTTTACTTTGTCCAAGGCTTCCAATTGTTCTGCAAGATTTTCTTCTTCATAAGAAGTTTGATCTTCGAAATTTTCAGTATTTTGGTAGAAATCGGATTCAGATTCTGGGTTATTTTGGGATTCAGTTTTCTCATTTTCAAGATTTGTTAATTTCTGAAATGAATAATTGGGTTTTGAAAGTTTTCTTTCTAAATCTCGAACTAAACTGTGTCTTGAAATTTCTGAATAATTGCAATTCTCTAACTACTAAAGGGTTTTTTGTTGATATTTCTGAATAAAGTTCAGCTAATTCGTTAGTCGATTGACCATTATTTCCTAATTCGAGGAAAAGTAATATCAGTTAATCTTTCGTTAAATTTTTTAATTTAAGTTTAAACATATTTGAACGAAACGATTCTTAAATAACAGGTTGTACGATTATAAGAAACAATTATGGATTTACAATAAAGTTTCTAACCTTTTTCCTGTATCAGACCCAAGTAACAATCCGACGTCATTTGACGTGATATTACGTTAAAAATGTTCTACCTGACGTCGGCATGCGACGTCCGTAGGACTCCCTGACGACCAAAATTCGACTCAAATGGGGAATGAAATTTCGGTCGATTCGACGTCGGAATATGACTTTGTGTCCTCAAGCGGACCTAAACACTACGTAATTTGACGTTGGGAATGGTATACCATCTCCGACTTGAAAATTCGGGAAAATTTAATTATTTATACCTAAATTGTACTATTTAAAAATTGGTCTAAATATTTCACCCTATTATCTACCAAATGTGGATATATTATTTTGGAAACATAATAACACAAAATGACGTAATTTTTTTTATTTCGTTGTTATATGATCTAGGTTCTTACAACTTTCCAGTGCATTTCAGAAGTTCCTCTGGTCAAAATTCATAAACACAGGTGTCTATTGATAAAAATAACTAAAGTAGGACTAAAAACACAACCGCCTCCCCAAAAATTAGCATAATTTGGAAAAAATATCAATTTTTGTTTAATTTTCCAATTTTAATTTTTTGTTTAATATGGGTTCAGAGATACTTGTGAAGCTGCTATCTGATGAACAATTGTGAAAAGCACACTTATGAAGGACGAATCTTACCGATGTTCACTGTAAAATTAAAATTAATCTAAAATAGCAACTTGGCGGCCAACGTCGGTCGAACTCAATAATGTCCGAAACGCCTAAAACAGCTGATGTCGAAAGCGACAGAAATTATACCAAAATTGCACGAAAACTGACTATGCCCAATCTTTGGTCGGATAAAGAATCCCTAGTTTTCACCTGCGGCGACCTTTAGTCGCAATATGTAGATTCTTTTATACGAAATCTGTTCATAAAAATAATCGCGACATCGAGCCTACCTTCCACGGACGACGGTTAAAGCTTCATTTAATTTATAGACGCGTTGATATGGAACTCAGGCTTTAATTATGTCAATTACTAAATGATTTTCGCTTTCTTTCCATTATTTTCAATCACGTATGGGTACCTAATTCAAAAGTACCTAGGTACATATTTCGAAACTAAAATTTACGAAAATTAAAATTACTCTTAAAAAAGTTAGGTGATGTTATTTTGTGTACATTGTTAGAGTTAAATCAATTTTGGTAGATTTACCGACGTCGAACCAAGGTTGGCAGAAAACTTAGTGCCGCCTATTTAAATTTAGTCGACTGACAACGTTTGACCAACGTTGCCTACTAGGTATACCAAAGCTTACCTAGCCATAATAGGTTATAAGGCGACGTTGTAGCGACGTCCAAAGAAAACTTTGAATATTTTAGTCGGGAAAGGACGTCACGCCAACGTTGGCAAATTACTCGTAAGCTACTTTATTTTTCGTAGGCGGCTTGCGTGGTCGAAGCATCGTTGTGCCCACGTTGTACTGCGACTCAAGCTGTGAAGTCGTGATACGACTAATATATGAACCCATTCTGACGTTGGAATAGGTGCAGATAACGTTGGAAGACGGAAAAATTTTACTTGGGGGCGGTACTTCGCTGGTGAGAAAAACTAATCAGGTAGGTTGCCCCTTGTAGTGTACACTATCTATACCAATTTGTCCTTCTGGCTTGTCAAAACGGCGTACCGATGAGATGACGTTGTGCCAGGAGCCTCAAGTAGAAATGTCGTAGATGATGTTCTGGATCTTTCTTAACTATTGGAACAGACGGGGATGCTTCTCTGGTAATCCAATTAGACACTGATATTCCAAAAAGAAACACTATCCGATCCGAGTCACGAACTAGAACTTAATTTTCCGAAATTCGACACAAAAAAGGATCGCTTTGCATCGTCGGAAAGGATCCTACCGACTGCGCCAATTATATTTACTTTAATGTAACTTGTGTTTTAATTGAAACACGAAATTACATATAAGTATGTTTTTATGACAAAGCTGACTTAAAGACTAAAATTCTATACTGCTGCAAGCTTGTATTTAATAAAAACTGAATAAGCGAAAGCCCACTATAGTTTGATTATGCTCAAAATAAAACACGTCTATTCAAAAATCTTTTTTACAATATTCTTCATTCATCATTGATTGTTTGACGGCAAGCTTTTAGTTTTTTTTCTTTTATAAAATGTCTTGAGATATCCATCTATATCCATCAGTGTAAAAGGGATAATATATAATAAACACAAAGAGAAACTTTATCATACAAGAAAAAAATTGGTTTTCCGCTTCTATTTCACTTCAAATTGTTGAGATTTTTATTGTCATCTCAGTTCAGTATAAATAAAACTAAAATAGACAGATAAACTACTTAAGCTTTCTAGGCATGGGAAAAACTATGCTAAGAAAATGAAAGATATATTTTTTACTCCTAAATATTCGTATGTATCACAAAGAGTCGATAATCTTCAGGAAACCCATTCGATTACAAAAAAACCGATACAAACAATGTAAAAATGCACGGAACTATTTTTGTCTGGAACATGTAAGCCGCATGAATAATTTATTATTTCGCCTTTCTGGTCGCATTATTGATGGACCTTGACCATGCAGGAATAAATGGACAAGATTTTCTCGGGCAACATTTTCGTTGTCAGCTCCCACGACCGACACATCCTATTTTGGCTCGTGTTCAAAATAATAAAAATTTAGACTGAACTTGAGTGATAAATGAGGATGAGGATATATTGTGTTGTATATATAACTAAGAACCGAGCAAATTTTAATTTAATATCAAATTTAATCAACTGATTTAAACAATATGATCATAATTGAATGAATAAGACTCAAACTTCAGTTTAATTTCCGGACAAAAATGTAGGTAAACCTAAACTCGAGCCAAAGTATTTGAAGACGAACACTAATTGGTAAAGTTTCCCAATACGACAAAACCCCCATATTGCATATTAAATTAACTTAGTTTTGAGTTTTGGCCTCGACGTAACAGGGATTTTCTTATTGATTTTGTCCTAAAAAGGTAGAATTTAAAATAGTCAAAATTGTGACAAGTGGAAAACTCGTATGTGTGAAACTTTCGCCGTAAACATTTTTAATCAACTCTGACCGACAAATTCGGTCTCATTTTGCCGCGGTTGTTGCAGAAAATTAACGGCGGAATAAAAAAAGAAATATCGAGTTGAATAAAAGAAACGGTTTTTCATTATTTTTTACGTCGAACTTCGTATACCTACTGCCCTTTTAGATACAGAACAAAAACGAATTTCGTTTTCCTTTGACCAATTCAATTATAAACGTTTGTTTGTTATTAGGCATTTTGTATGTACTAATTTTTTGCTTTTCAACTAATATTATGGTTATAGGTACTCCTCAGATGTTACAAAGGAGATAAATTTAATAACAGCTAAAAAACTACTACAATACAATAAAGAAAGGCAAGACATAATAGTTATTTATGATATAAGTGTTAAAAGTACATTTTTAAGGCACGCATGTGAAAGTTTGCAGAATGAGCGAAGCGAATTCTGCAATTCACATAAGTGCCTTAAAAATACTTTTAACACAAATATCATACAATATTTTTTCTACAAACGGCAATAAAAAGCAATAACCAGTAACACATTGGATTTTTAAATGAATAATAAATTGGAAGCATCTTTCCTACATAACATTATTGAATTTGACATTTGTCAAAAAGTTCAAACAACCAGCACCTTGTTTTACAGGTAATGAAATGTCTTGTCAGTTTCTTGAAAGACTGTCGTGGTTACTAATGCTTTTTGCTTAAAATGCAACAAAATACAGAAGAAAAAGAGGGTTGCATCGATCCCTTGAAAAATATAGATGAGGCGGCCAATCGGGCTACCTCAGTTGTTCAAATTTCACCATTCATATCAATGTAAATAACTAAAAATACAAACTTTTTTTGACGTTCGCTCTCAAAATTTGATGTTTCATTTTTAACACTAGTGCTATAAAGACTTTATGGCACTAGTGCGATAAAGTAACATTTTTAATGCTTCGGGGGGGTGTTAAAAATTGCATTTTTAACACGTTTGTAGAAAAAACAAATTGTAGGTATTTTCAGGAGACTCATTACGGTAACGGCAAGGTAGGATAATTGGGCAATAATTTAACATTGAAACGGGGCTGCCTCGACGAAATCACTAGGCTACTTTCAAAGTAATTTCCTTTAAGTGTGGTAAAAAAAAGTTGAAATAATGCATTCGCGGTCATGTGACGCGTTAGGGGGTGAACCTTGACCTAATCACAGGGTCAGGCGGAGTGCGCAAACCGTCCCGAGCTATATCGTCGTCGGGACGCTCAAGTTTAAACTGTTGCTGAAGGTGTAGGACGCCGATAGCATCGCGACGTCAACGTTTGACTGTTTTTTCGCTCAGCGCCGCGAAGTTTTCGAAAGTTTTTGTTCGCCGGAAAGTTTTTCAGTGCGACAATCGGTACCTGTTGGATTATGCTATTGGGGTTTTGAGTATTGTGTGTGTTTTTGGTGAGCAAAAGTTATTATTTTGTGTGGTCAGTTTCTTATCTGTTGAGCTGAAGTGAGTTTATTGGGCTAGGTACGACTTGCATATTCTGTTTTTCAAGTATTAGGTAGTCCTTTTCTTGGATCTAATCTCACTTTCATGAGCCCCGAGTTACTTTACAAATTTCTCTGAAAACCTGAATTCTGAGTCACTACCTTGAAAGTTTTCTGATTAAACTGATTCCAATGACGGTTGAATCCAAAGCCTAAAATTTTTGATTTTATCCTAAATCAATACCTACTATGTGAATTTGCTGATTTTCAGATCAGACTCTTTAAATTTCAATTTGATTTTTGTTGTAAGAGTATCTCATAATCTCTTTTTCTGAGAAAAAGATGTGTGGTTCATGAATCCTGATTTACAAACTTCCTGCCTTTTTCTGAGGCACCCCTACAATAGTCGTTAGTTCGTGAAAATTTAAGACTTTTAGGATCCGTAGATACTGTATCTTAAGTGATTACCCTTCATAATTCCTGCTTTCCTTAAGACCTTTAGATTCTGAATGATAAGTCTTTACTTTGGAAATTATCTAGATCTTCCCTGGGAAGATTTTCAGGATCTTCCGATTTCACCGAATTATTGAATCCAGTTTTTCAATAACACTCTTGGATCTGATCCTGATATCCTTATCCCTGGGTGACACTGCAAATATTGGTTCTTCAGTTTTTTCAGATTTTAGAAACCTGAAATCCTGAATTCTGAGACATCACTTTGAAAGTTTTCTGACTTATCCCCAAAGAAGAGTTTCCGATTGTCTCTCTTTTCAGGAAAATTCTGGGATTTCACCCAAAATCCCGAGTTATTAGTGTTATTACTTCACAAATTCACTAGTTTTTGTTTCTAAAATATGGTTTCTTTTGCAAACTGAATGATAAGGAAATTTTTTAGATCTTCTCTAGGAAGCTTCTCAGAATCTCCGATCCTTCCAGATTCTTGAATCCTTTAGATCCTGAACCCTCTTTATGCACATTTTTTGTTTTTCACGAATACTCTTGGACCTGACCTTAATATCCTGAGCCCTGGGTTATACTTTACAAATATTGGCTCTTCAGATTCTCTAGATTTTAGAAACCTAAAATCTGAGGCATCACTTTAAAAGTTTTCTGACTAATCTGCAAAGAAGAGATCCTGATTGTTTTTCTATACTCAGGAAGATTCTAAGATGTCTGATTTCTCGATTCAAAATGAGAAATTCCTCTTTATTTGCATAGAAAATTCTTAAGATCTGCAGGTCCGTAATCCTTATTTGTTACTTCACAAATTCACTAGTTTTGATTTTCTAAAAATAAGAAAATATGGATTCCATTGCAAAACTGTAATTGAGACCTTGAGATTCTGAAGGATAAGTGAGGAAATTCCCTAAATCTCTAAAGCTTCTCAGGATCCTTCTAGATTCTTGAATCCTTCAGATCCTGGACCCTGTTTTTGCACTTTTTTTTTACGAATACATTATCAGGATCTCAATATTCTGAATCCTTATCCAATAGTGGAATCTCTAAATGCCGAACTCTGAAAAAATATCACATTTCATACTGTGAAGAATCTAGGATCTAGAATCCCAAATCACAATCTTCTTGTTCTTGACCTTGTCAGAGGCGACTTTAGGATACTAGATTGTGCGAGAAAAAATCCCTTAGTACGCTTAGGATTTACAGATAGGTACCTACAGAATCTTAGGTAATTGTTTTGTATAAATCCTGGTTGTTCATTCAAAAACTATTAGGATCTTAAGATAGATACTAAATCGTGAGTGAAAATTCCTGGGATTTTTCTGGGAAGATTCCTAAGTAAATGGGATCACCTGACTGATTATTATTGCACTCGATAAAAAGCATGAAATGCTCTTGTCCTTTTTAGAGGCGACTTTAGGATTTCAGACTGTGCAAGTAGTAGTACTCTTAGGATTTACAGATACCTACAGAATCTTAAGTAATTGTTTTGCATAAATCCTGGTTCTTCATTCAAAAACTATTAGGATCTTAAGATTCTGAATCGCGAGTCAAAATTCCTGGGATTTTTCTGGGAAGATTCCTAAACAAATACCATTTTTCCTCACAAGGTTCCCAATCTGCTGACTAAATTATTGTAAACTTTACGCAATAGTATTGGGCTTTCAATAAACTTCCTATTTAATTCTTACTACGTTAGATGTATATTATTTAAAAAAAAAAGTTCCGAATTGTCTGAAAATTGAATCACCATTTGAAATTTTCTCGGAGGGAAACTTCAAAACGTTCCTAAATGTACTTTGAAAAGCTTGTTGAAGTTCCCTATATAGTAGGTATATTTTTATGTGTCATTTGCCTGGATGGGAGCGCTGCGCTTATTTCAGACCACTTTTAAAATGGTTTTTGAGTGCTTACAAGAGCGGGAAAAGTACTTTTATATTGAACAACTTGTTTAAATTTCAGTTAAATATCGATTCCCCCAATCCGCTTTAATTTTAAACGTTTTTCCTTACATCCAGAAATAATTGAACCATTAAAATTTCTCATTTTACCGTTTTAAAAATTAAAGTGGTTTTTCTGCACGGTGAATTTTTCGATTTCAAAACAGGTTTAATATTTCAATGGAGTGGAATCCAGACACGGATATCTTTAGTGGAGGTGGTTTAGGATTCTTAATGGGGAGTTTCACCATATTTGAATTTCATTGCTTTATTATTTTTAATCAGTTTTTTGAACTATGATACATTATCATAAGCAGCTCGAATGTCTATGAAGGTACATACTATCACTTCATTATTGGTAAATGCTGTGTAAATTGAATGAGCCAAAATGACCAGATTGTCTATGGTTCCTTTTCCCTTTGTTAACCCATTTTGGGCTACATAATTTTTTTTTCTCCAAGAAATGTTTTAAACGTGTCTTGACCATGCTTTCCATCAATTTACCAAGGCACGAAGTCGAAGCTATTGGTCTGTATGCAAGTCTTCCATAATTACATCTTTCACTTTCTGGGTCAAAGTTGTCTTGCCAATAAGTTGTTTTCCAACCTCTAATATTGGTGTTGGCTGGAACCAGTAGGCACTACCAACTGGTGAGCCTTCCCTTGTACTCCTTTGAGTTGGCGTTATAGCAGAAGCAGGAATCAGACATTTTTTGTGCATTTCTCTGTCGTACCCTGGCGAACAGGGATTTTTTCTTTTCATGTTACATGCTGCCGGAGCATATTATGATGGTTTTCTTGGAGTCGTAGGGGTTGATATGTATAAATGTCTCTGATTCACTTCAATTGGTCTACTGGCTTCTGAAGCTGTTCTTGTGGGATCCAGAACTGGAAAGTCTCTATGATCCAAGTTTCCTCTGTCCTATATTTTCATCTTCTTTCGGTTGTTGGTGTTGAATAATTATGCCCTTTTAACAAGTTAATTAATTATTATTATGAGGAGAAATAAAATTACACAGCATGTAGTTTTTTGACATGTAAGGAGTGTTCGTTTATTAAAGTAACTGATCCAACTACACCAAGACCTTTTGACAGTATACAGTGGTGCCATCTAGTAGGTATATTCTTAGATTACTAGTCACAAAAAAATTACAGAAATCATGTATACACAACACCCCCCTTCAATTTAAACACTTTTATAACAAACAAAATTTTAAATTGCAAACAACGCAAACTCAAGTTTTGAAAAAATTTATAGTATTTTACATTATTAGCCAGGTAAAACAGTTTTTACTGGCGATTGAAGGAAATGACTAGCGAGCCGCCAGGCGAGCTTGTCACCTTCAAGAGCCAGTAAAAACTGCTACCTGGCGTATAATGTACAATAATTTATTTGTTACTCATTTGTAAAAGATATAGGGACAAATAAAAAATCAATACATAACAAAAATTTGAAATTTATATGTTTTTCCTTGATTTTTTCTCACAGAAGTTTTGGTAGTTGGTATAACTATGAGAATGATACGTTGTTAAGACGTTGTTTCTAGTTATAAATAGGTTTTTTGACAGATTTCCATTTTGCAATTTTTTTCCAGAAATGAATTTATTACAAGATATTATTAATGAAGCCTCAGTCGTAGCCAACAGTTTATCACCAGAAAAGTCTCCCAGAAGGTACCTACAAGCAATTATTCTTGTGATAAAACCGATTTTTCAAAAATAAATAATTCTACTGACTTGTGAAAAGTTTTTACAGTTTAGCTGTCAATTTTACAAGTCAGTAGAGCCAGTAGCTTGTAAAAATCAATTTTCGCTGGTTATGTTTTGACTTGATAAGTGACGTTTTACAAATGAGTGACAAATAAAATACTTAATACAACGCAACAATAGATTTCTTAATTTAAAGTCCATAAAAATAAACACTTTTCAATCATCACAATAGAATGGTCAAAATAATGTAAATAATATAAGTTTCTACATCATTTCTTTGAGACCTAGCTTGTTTCTTACATGTACAATTTTTTCTTTGGCTAAAGGTTTGGTCATAATATCTGCAGTATTCTCATTTGTTTGGATGTACTCAGTTTGAATTATACCCATGGCTACATCTTTGATAAAATGACATTTGATGTCAATATGTTTGGATTTATTACTGTTTTCAAAACTTTGGGTAGAGTGTAAAGCTCCCTGATTATCAATCAATAAATCAACAGTTACATCCTGAAAAGAAAAATCGGAACAAATACTTTTCAAATAGATTAGTTCTGAAACAGATATTGCACTTGCTATGTATTCAGCTTCATAACTAGATTAAGCTACAACATTTTGTTTTCAGGAGATCCATGAAACTAAATTATTGTTAAAAAAGACCACATATCCACTTACACTCTTTCTATCGATCTGCTCATTACCCCAATCTGCATGTGAATAAGCTGTAAGAAAATTTTCTTTCTGTGTCAATTTGAGACATCTTAAAATTCGTTTTGCTGCTTGCCAAAATTGCTCTGTGGGTCTGTCAAGAAAACGACTTAGAAATATAATGGCATAGCTTATGTCTGGTCTGCTTATTGTTGCT